TATATGATAATGTAACAAAGAGGTTTCGAAGGCTGGGATTTAGTATCCACTTTCTATCCCAATTTCACTGAACTCAATATTGAAATCCTTTCCATCTTTAAAAATCATGCATACGTCCCCAAATAGCTCAGGATACATGGATTTGGATTTTTAAAAAATTGGTGACAGCCACTCCAGCTGTCAACTATCTATGTGGGCAACTCCACTTTCCTAAAACTACACAGATACACTAACCAAATACTACTGACATCATTACAATGCCTTAGGACAGACTGCCCTCATGAGGCCAAACTAAAATCTCTTCATGGGATACCACACACTAACTGGGGACGCTTTACACACATCTGTTACCGTAAAAGAAAGTCTGCAAAAGCTGTTCCTCGTGACTACGTACAGCTGCAATATTAAAAAAAACCTCACTGACATTTTGTGTGACCTGCTAGAAACTTCTACTAATGATAATCAATTGCAACATATGCCTCCAAAGTAGGAAAAGACAGATATAGTGAGTTCACTCCAGCAAGTTCTAAGTTACAAACACATTTCTTAACAGATAAGCAGAGGTAAGGCACCAATGGTACTTAACAAAAGATTATAGGAGAGTTTTAAGCACTATAGCAGATGAAGAAACTTCAGATGAATAAAAAGCACATGCTCTCACTTCCACTAGGAATGGAATCACAGAAACTTTATACGTCTAATAAAAGAGTGGACTTAGGTTCTCAAAATTCAATTGAGAAATCATGGTCAGTAAAGCACATGGTCTTACTCAGGAACACCCCCATGCAAAAAAAGGCAAAACATATCTATATCTATCTATCTATACCTCAGCATAAATGTTATCAGCACAGGCTGTAAAACCTGAACGCCTGTTTTTAATCAAGGACAGTGACATAACGGGCATACCAGAAATATGATAGAAGCAAGACAAATAAGCAAGACACTGATAGAAAATATATAGGAAAGTCACCAAACTAGATACCAATATATTAACTCATCAAATCAAATATGGATTTAATTTCCAGGCCTAATAAGGTAAACTTTATTGTTAGACAATATTATTACCAACACAATTAAGATGATGGGAGTAGCTATGACATGCAAGGACTACAAGGCCAGCAATGTAACTGTAATGAAAGATGGCAATTATCAGCAGGCTGGGTAAGTGTCACACTGAAGATGTCAAGACGACTTTTTTTTAAATTTTTTTTTTTTTTTGTCATGCAACCAATCAGAGCCCCCCAACTCTGGCTGCGGTCCCTGGGAGCACACGAGACCTGAGTCAAAATGCTATTTTCAAAGACTGGCTTTGTGATGGTAACTTTTATTTCTGTGAGAATACTGACAGACAACAGTCCACTACTGCAGAGTTCCATAAAAAAGGAGCAACATAAAATAAGGAAATATGCTAAAATGAAAGAAAAAAGACAAGTAAAAAAAATTAAGATGCAATGCTTGAGGACACCACTAAGGTCGTATACATGGAACTTCAGTATGATGATTTTAAATACATAGGCCAAATTAAAACTTTTTTTGTGGGGAGGGAGAAGCTGGCATGGATTAAAAGCTACTAGAATTTAAAAGTCAACCTTTGTAAAACCAGCAGTCTACCTTTAGCAGGCAAACAGAATCTGTCACTGAATGTTAAATTTACAGACAGATCAGAATGTAGAGGAACAATTTACAGAAGTGCATACAAACTGAACACTACCCTAGGAACAGGAACCGTGCCTGAGTAAGACAAACACGTGATCAAAATAAAAAGCTGGCAAAAGCAACAGCAGGCTTTTGGGAGTTTTGTGGGTAGAAGAATCACTTGGTTTTTAAGAAGACATTCCAGGGGGATCCAGGGAACTACAGACAAATTATATTTTTCTGTCCCTAGCAAATTGCCAGAAATTGTACTGAAGCCATGAAAAAAACTGGATAAACCTACTGAAGAAAGTCAGAGTTGCTTTTGCAAAGGAAATTCATGTTTGATAAACATTTTAGAGTTCTCCCAAAGACTAAAAAGAGATGAGAGTAGGGACATCTAATACAGCATGCTTGAAATTCTAAAAGGCATCTGACACGTTCCTTTGCCAAAAACCATTAAAGATACTGTGCTGCCAAGAGAAGTTGTCATATCAGTATATTGGTTAAAGATAGAAGAGAAAGGCTGTGAATCATCAGTCGTTCTTTCCTAAGGACATGCATCACCAACAGAACGCCACAGGCACCTCTGTTGGGGCTAGCAAAGTACAACCTACTCCTAAGGGTTCTGAGACAGCAATTTCTGAAGCCCACAGTATATTCCAGTAGCACTAAGCTACTCAAAGTAATAAAAGGATAAAGGAATTAAAACAGAAAAATGCAGAACAATTTCACAGAGGAAATAGGTTTTTAAAATCAGCAGACTAAATTCACTGTAGATAAATGAGAACAATTCACAGTGGGGAAAATACAAAAAAATCAGACCTAAAAATATATATAATGAAATGGACTCCAAGTTGACCATGAATTATTCAGGACTGAGTTATTGTTCTTCTACAGCTTCTGAAAACATAAGTGTAAAGGTTAGGAAAATGAAAAACAATTAGGCATTATTTTGGAAGCAATACAAAGCAAAACACAAAATATCCCATTTTTTTTAAGATAAATTCACAGTGAATACTGTGAGCAGTTCCACCTGCTCCTCCCTCCTTGAGAAACTGGAAAAGTAAAAAGCACCCAAAAGATGATGTAAGGTACAAAAGAGCTTTCCAGCAATATGCAACTGAAATAAATATGACTCTCTGGTTTGTAACAGAAACGACTGGGGCAGGCAGGATACAATAGAGGTCTACAAGTTCAAGAGTGATGCCGAGAGAGCACAAGAGGGTTGTTATAATGTCTCATTAAATGTAAGAACCCGGAGGCCTAACCAGAGCCATCAAATGGCGGATTCAAACATACCAATCACAAATTGCTGGAGGTACAAGAGTCTTCTAAGGAGACATCACCACACACTTGATCTGTTCCCCAACCTATGCATCCACTGCTTCCACTGCCTGAGACATCACACCAGGCCAGGTAGAACCCTAGTCTGTCAAACAGATATTACTTCTTAGAGTAGGTGTACACAGTAAATGCTGAAAATGATTACTGTTTTTAACTAGTTTTCAGTTCTAATTTACCAGTTTGAAGAAATGGGAGAAAAAGGCCTTTTAAAAATATTACTTCAAGGCTACCAACACTTCAGTCTAGTCCTATAGCAACAGCAGTAATAAAACCGTATTGCAACATTTTAAAAAAATTACTTAGCAACATACTGAGATCCTTCTGAGAGTGTTATTCCAAGTTTTAATCACAACTATAAACTAAAAATGCCATTGCTAATAATTTATTTAACAGTTCCCTTACCCCAAAAACAAGGGATAATAAAAATTAGGGTCAGAACTCATGAAGAGAAATTGTTAGTCTCTTAATTTTGGCTTCTGGTCAAGATATGTCACACAGGCTTTCCCTGTAAAATACTAAGGACAGGTACAGGCAGCAGCCAAGTTACTGACATACTACTTCTTGACTAGTAAAAATGGGAGTACCAGCTGTCCCTCCTCACCTTCAGTGCCCTCGGAAAAAATTCATCTATTCTCTGGCCAGTTCCTCCTACCAAAGAGAAACAAAACTGGCAATTATATTTTTTGGTGCAAAGACACATATGGCATGTAACTTTTCACAGCAAACACCACCAGCTCTCTACAAAGAGGTAACAGTAAGATAAGGACTCCTGAAAGGACTACCTTTAGCAGTATTTTATATTTCAAAGTGAGGAACACAACCAACTGTAAATCCCCTTGAATATACAACCATTCCTTGTATTATTTCTCAATACATACCTGCGAGAAGCTTGAACATGCACTGTTCTCTGGCACAAAGACAGAATTTCTCAGCTGCACAAATGAAGAAAATCTCAGACTTTGAAGACTTTAAGTTATCATCAGTGAGATCTCTTCTTTCTATACTTTGGTCTGCGCCAAGACGGGAAGTAATTTCAAAAGCTGAATCAACATCTGGATCATGATGCAATGAACACTGGAGCTAAGAAGTGAAGGTCCTAAACCACATTCATAGTTTTCTTCAGAGGTGATAAAAACATCAATTACCAAAAATTACTTGATCTCAATGGAAAAGCCTGAGGTCAAATTTTTGGTAATTTTTCAGCAAGAGAGGAACACTCAGGATCATTTACAGCCGCATAATTACCCTGCTTCAAAAGCTTCTTTGAATAAAATAAATGGCTATTTTATTGACTATACATACATATTGAAGAGCATCAACATAACATAGTTGAACTGAGCATTCAAGAAGACACAGAGTAGAACACCTTGCCTTCACACTCTGGAAGTGATAGGTGTTTTCTAAACAGCTACTGAGTCAGTGAAAAGTCTTTTATGCGGCAAGTTCTGCAACTGTGCTATTCACCAGTGTTATGTGCAGCTCACACTCGGAATATTACAGAACTAGCAACTCAAACAACCAATCAACAGCCCTTCAATATATCCACACAAGCGCTTCTGAATTAAACGGGTGCTGTACATACACTCAAGAATGGAACTGAGCAGGTTTTGTCTTTGTAAAAACACATTACACGTAATTAAGTCTCCTAAAGGCAATTCAGGTATGCTGAAGATCTAGAAGCTCCTAGCTTTGTAGTGTTAGCTACAAACAAACAAAAACCAAAGGAAACTTCTTGCCCCTTTGTAGGGACTAAACGATAAGAATTAAAAATTACATAGTTTGCAATCTCCACCCTACATGAGAAACTTGACGCAATCATACCTGTCAACCAATAAACATGCCTCTGCACTTTATTAGCCTTTGTGTAACATGATAATTCTCTATCCCAAATTGGAAAACATGACTTTATAAAAATATAGTGCCTTGGAAATGTATCAGCATATTATTTAAAACTATCACCATACCAAAACCAGATCTTTTAAAAATTGTTACATACACAGACTTCATAATACTGAATGGACTCTTTCAGGTAGCTAAACATACATGCTGGACTTTACCACTGCTGACTTTCTCCTCTAAATAATATCAAGTCAATTACATATATCAATCTTCAACTAATTTCCATCCGCCTCCCTTTTTTTAGTATATATTTATATATTGCCATCATGACATTTAAGTAGGTACTTATGCAAGGTAGTATTTAAGTCAGAAGCTGCAAGCCTCCATCTACAACAAGAGTACTCCCTGTAATGTAAGGGGACTCTAGAAGAAAGACAACAGCATGTGCAACTTCATGAGGCTCTCCAAATCTTCCAAGAAGAATTGCTTTCTTCAGCTGATCTTCTTCCAAATGAGCAGTCATCTCTGTGTGAATAAAGCCTACGAGAGGAGAGATATTTGAAGAGTTACCTAAACTTCAACTAAATTTCTCTAGCGGGTTTTCCCTGGAATCCTCCACAGTACAATCTACTACCAGGATTCAGCACCAGCTACCATTCTTCAAAGCCTCAGAACTCAGTCCGCATCATTTTATGGCCAAGACAAATTTTTTATCTAGACAATAAAATGTCTTCCAGTTTTGGAAGCACTGATGTAATAATCAGAATGCAGAGATCTATAGAAGTCCATTAAAAAAAAAAGTAACTAAAATTGGTTCTCAAACCCATATTAGTATCACTTTTCTGAAAGACAAAATGCAGTCATTTCACCAAAACGTTCTCAATAAAAACTTGAGTATGAAATCTCTGGCAAGAAGCCCCTACAGCCTGCAAGTGTTTCCGTGTATTTTAGAACTTATGACAGCACTTGCATAGTTGCTAATATAGCACTCATTTGAAGACTCTTTCTTGACATTTTTGAAGGACAACTCTTTACAATTTTCGGTTATCTGAGATTCAGTTTTCCCACCGCTGCACTTCACATAAGCTGCAGCTTCATCAAGAGCTGACCTTATCTTACTTTCTAGCTTCCACCAAGACGGGAGAGTTGCCATTTTGATTTCCACTGCACAACTCTGCCCCTTTATGATGGCTCTGAACCATTCAGTGAGCTGCTCAACTCACTAAAGAATAAAAAGTACTTTTCTTGCCTAGTTCACAAGCTGAACTGGTTCATATAAAGGTCTGAAAGGCATTGGAGCTAGCACAAGGTGAGCAGCAGAGTACACAGCTATAAGTGGAAAAGTCAGAAAAGGCAGAAGGATTTTTCCTTAAGGGCGGTGGCTTGCTTGGACTAGCTGGTCTTGTGAAATGACAGCCTTGTCCTCACAGAACTTTTTTTCCAGATTCTCTCCTTTTACCAGAGGGATAGACAAGGATGCTTTCAGGCCAGCTTCTCATGGTCTTTCATGTTTCTCTGATAACAAATAAACATTCTCTAGCAGGAGATGAGGGTATCTGACTGTATGTAATTTTAATCCCTCCATCTGCAAGGACAGCAGGTTTTGAAGGAGGAACAAAGGAAAAAAAAAAGGATACATTTATTATGTAACAATAGATAGTGGAACAGGTAGACACACTCTTCCAAATTTCTCAGTGATCCCTTAAAAAGACTGAGGGTTTTGTAACTTTAAACTGAAAAAAGAGATTAAAAACATTTACTTACAAAAGTTGAAGAAAAGAACAGTAATTTGTCTTAAGTTACTTTCAGAGTACAGCAAATATCCAGCAGGCCACATGATTGTGTATTGCAACAGTCAAGGATGTAGGAACTTCCCAAAAACTAACCTGGAGCAACCACGTTGACTCGAATTTGCTTTTTTGCTACTTCTTTAGCAAGAGAGCGTGAAAATCCAACTAATCCTGCTTTGGTAGCACTGTATACACTTTGACCAGAGTTGCCTTTAAGTCCTACAATACTTCCTAAAATAAAGAAACATCGAAGAGAAGAAGATTAAATAACTAATTTGAAACCTTGTACTAGCTTTATCATTTTAGTTTTAAATTTGGAATGGAAAATGAGATTACAAGAAAAGAAATTATAGCCTACTGCTGGGATAAGCAAATCCTTCAATTACCCTTGATTTTTGTGGAATTCATGTAGCTATGTCGACCAAAAGGCACCAGGAGAGTAAAATGAAGAGCTTTCTAAAAAAATACCCTTACAAAGAAAAATAAAAAAGAAACCAACTGTACCTATTTGATTCTTAGTTAATAATTAGCAGCTGGTAGCTTTAGCTACTGAAAGAGCTGATAAAGAATGATAAAATTCATTATTCAATAGAATATAAACTCTGAGGTGTTTATTACTGAAACAAGCTGGTTTTACCTTTAGAAGTTGCTGAAATTACACAAAAGAATAAGCATTCATAAAGCAATGCTAAATACAGAATGCCTAAATACAAAGAAAATAGTCAATTGCATCAAGCAACTTTTCAACACGTTACACCCACTAAACCTTTCTAGAAAACTATTAAGTCGAATTCCACCGGATCAGGCAAGCAACTTACCGATATTGACAATAGCACCTCCCTGTTGTTGAATCATGCTTTTTACAGCAGCTTTGCATGTCAACATTGTCCCCAAAAGGTTAGTGTGAATCTGGGATACCATATCTTCAGTCTTGGTTCTCAGTAACAAGCCATCCCTGACAAACAGACCAAAAAACCCTAAAGAACTCACTGAAGAATCCCAATAATCACATTTACTCATAATAAAATGAGACTGATGAATGGAATATTAATGGGGATTTATATGGTTCTATACGTTCTAGCATTCAAAATTATGACATTGCAAGGATGACATCTAGCAAGAAAAAAGTTAGCTAGTCTTCTGGCAACAAAGCATCCTTTGCAGAGAGGTATCAAATATTGATTTGGACCATTCTGGGGGAAGAAGTGGAAGAAAGAGGAGTAGAGGGGTAACTCATAAACTCAGAACGCAGAAACTACACGAAAGCCTTATCACCTGTCAGAATTTTACCTTCATCAGGAGCAAAGTAGTGAGCACTTAATATTGTTTTCAGATGTACTCATTAGTGATATTCTTACTAAATGCAAAGGCTCCTAGCACTTTACATGAAGATGCTGTCATCTAGAACAACATATAATCTTGTAATTAATAACTAACCTGTTGATCCCGGCTGCATTAACCAAGTAGTTAATAGGACCTAAACTCCTCTGCATCTCCTCAAAGGTATTTTGGACTTCTTGTTCACTGGACACATCACAGCTAAGTGCCAGATGTCCTGCTGTATTGAAATAAAGACACATGGTAATAATAGTAAAAGATGGTATGCCATTCATAAACCTTCTTCAGAATTTATCAAGTCAATTGCTAAAACAGATGTTGAACTAGTTGTAACTTGAGGAACCCATTTAATCTCTAGAGAGTTAAATAAAGACAATTTTTGAGTATTGCATTGATTAGTTATATGACAATTTCTTGGTTTATATTTTGGTCTTTTGAAATCAGAAGTTCAACATGAGCAGACTGGTCTCAGTTCTGGCTTGGTCAGGAGCCAAGGATGACTCAGTTCATACCACTTCCCTGTTGTGACCTTGAACAATTCCTTTCATCTTACCTATTCCATCCTCAAGATATGAATTGTAACATACTTAACTTCCCCAAAGAATATTGTGAAAAGCAAACTGTACCAATACAGCTTTTCTTTCAAATTTCTCAGTCATTACTTCCACTTTCATCCAGTTAAACAATGAGGTTTACTTAATGACTTCTACAAGTTACCTAAGCATCGGACAATAAAGAAAGTATTGCAAAGCAGTATACATACCACCAAGATTACGTGCAGTGGTTTGGGCTACTTCCAGATTTCTAGCAATAATCGCCAGGCGGCAGCCTTTCTGTGCCAGTAATTCTGCAACAGCTTTTCCTATTCCTCGGGATCCTCCAAAAATGGCGCAAACCTTGCCCATCTTCAAAAATAGTTCACAAATTGCAAATAAAGTGTGAATTCCAGGTCCAATATAGCAGAGAATAACCACTGTTCTCCTCAACATCAGGGTCCTTACTAGTCTGTAGCATTTTGTAATATTGGATTATAGAATTAGTGATTTATTAATTTTTTATTCACCAAAAAATAAATACCTGAACTAAATCAGACACCACTTCTACAAATGCAAGTAAATTCTTAATGATTTCTGAACTAGTAAAAAAATTGTGCATGTAATCTAGCATTTCAATACTACTGGTATGATAACTCCTATTCAGTTAGTTAAAAACGTGATTTCTATATCTAAAGGCCATAATGTATCATTCAGCTGTTTATTCAAAGCCAACACAGTAGTTGTGATTATATTGTCCTTGCAAGCAGCGTTCTAAAGTAATTTAGCCTCAAGGTCTCCCTCCATCCTAAGTATCTGTGTCGGATGTCCACATTTGCAAACGCTACTGAGCATAATTCGATACTTTTGTATTTACACTAGCTTAATACTAAGTTGCACTATATAATACTATGTTTTACCACTAATCTTAGGGGTTTTTGTTTCTGCTTTTGAAGAAAAAAAGGCTTTTTGAAATGTGAAATGATTCTGAAGTAGCTAGCTTAAATGTTTTGGAAGGAGTGTAAGAAGAAAGTACTTCTGCAGAATGATCTTTTATTCCGCAACCTCTAGAAACCAATCAGCTGTTTTGGGATTCACTGAGGAGCCAGAGGCAGAATCCAAGCAATAGTAATGAACCTCTTTTCCATATGTTTGAATATATCCTTTTTGAACCCAATTATACTTTGTCTCCATAACATCCTGAGGCAAGGAGTTTCATTATTTGTGGAGAATTACTTCCTTTTGTTTTCAATTTGCTTTCTGATTAGATAATACTATGCATCTCCCCTCATATCTTCGCCTCACTGTTCCTAACTTCAGAAGCTACTTTTCGGTATTTTACCCTCCCCCTGTATCCTCTTTCAGGTCCATTAGTTACTCTTATACATATGGAAGCCATCCCATACCCAACTAAAGGCTGTTCAAGCTCTCGATCCTGACACTCTGCCCTTTGCCATACTTAGGTCTATTATACCCTGTTTGATGTCCGATAACCAGAAGAGCACACGGTGTTAAGCATACAAGGACGCCATCAACTCATGCGATGGCATAATGATTTTGATCTTCTGTGACAGGGCCTGAAAGAGCAGCTGGTCCTTTTCTGTAACAGAAAGGAAGCACAAGTGCTTGAAATCAACCCATGTGACTGCTTCCACCAGCAAGTTTGAATTGCCTTCCTAAAGGAACAGCATTAAATACTTGCGTCTCAGGTGGCAGCCCTTTTGAAAGAACGTGTAGGAAAAGATGTCCTGCATAAAGACAATTCCTTAGAGATAAAAACAGGCACTGCTGCCTCACCGGAAAGACTAATCTTTTGGGTAGTCTTCATTAGGTAGCTAGACTGCAAGAGATGAATCAAGAGAATCCTAGTAACTACAGCTCTTACTGCCTTAGCAGACTAAAGGCACAACCAATCAACCAACCCATGTTGTGATGACAGATTTTGTTGTTAGAAACAAAGTCTCAGTCTGCCTTCTCCATGACTGATCTTTTCTTTAACAGAATTATCCGCAAACACTCTTGGAAGTTCTTGCCTACTTGTTGCAGCAATATTGCACTAGGATTTTTTCCTCCATTTCCTCCTCCTCCGTATTTTATTCTTACCAGCATTGAACATACTTCCTCTCTTATTTTTTTTTAAGATGGAATAACATAGAAGAGATCTCTAGAAACCATCTTGTCTAACTCCACCACCCCTAAGAAATGTCAAGTGAACCATCTTATACGGTTTATAAATGCTGTCAGACCTATATGTATTTTCTAAATAATGCTGAACTTGCTTAGCTACACAAGACCTGAGAAGCTGCCTGTGGAGAGAGAACTTCTTTAAAACGTATCATTCTGCCCTTCCTGCTCTCTATGAGAAAGGAAAAAAACTTAGCGATTCTACCACCCTCACAAAGAACAGTGAAAGTCCCTTGTGCATTCACCAGGTGTTTACAGGGGACAGGCAAGGCCTACGTCCAGCACAGCAATATACAATTTGTGGTTTAGTACAAAAAAAACATACGGATTCTTTGGAGCTGTGACTCGGGTGAAAAAACCCCTGCAGTAGTAAGAATAACGCTACAGTCCCTGCTCAAACACGGGCACCGGGAAAAACAAGTATCTTTTGAGCAGCAGGCTCGCCACAGAGCACACACGAGCAACTGTACCACCTTTGCCCCCTACAGCCCTTCTCTCAGAACTAACTACTTAACCCGTGACCACCGCC